GGCTGCAAAATGCGATCAAACGGTGTCTTGCCAAACGCCTAACCAATGGATCAATGGATTTATACGTTTAATACGCGAACATCTCCGCTATTCCACATAAGTGAATGGTCAGTCCACCACAACGCTTTTCACTCTATTATGCAATTGATTTTTGCAATAATTTCCACTCCACGGGACTTGTTAAGCGATGCCTTTTTACTCGTAATAAACCATTGTTCCATTGTTCTGTACTCTCTTGTTGTTATGACTTTTCAGTCCTCCACATGACGGCACCTTCCGCTCCACCACACCATGAGTAATTTGGGCTAGTTATTTTCACTGTTCTCCCATGAAATTATGACAGACAGTTTATCAGCTACAATCTAACTTGGCCAGCTTGTCAAAGAAAGAACGTAAATAGCCACTAATATCTGCAGACACCTGGGAATTTAACCATCCGCTGCATTTACGTGGCGAAATGCTGTCAATGTACGACAGGTGTTGAGGACAATCACAGAGTGTATGCCCATACAGGGACGATAAAACTGAAACAGCAGTGTAAGATGTGTTCACAGACGTGCAACGTGAAATATACAAATCAAAGTGCTGACACCGATGTCACAGAATCGGTTTAAACAGTTGGTGTAAAAGTCAAACGTGAAGGTTCTCGGTCAACCTTGCTGGACAGTCGTTGTAGCCCCATCGCTGCCTGATTAATCAACTTGGCAGGGGACAGCTGGTGGGGATTTACAGACAAGCAATTGTTGCATCTCAACAAGATAACCGACGAAAAGTGGTTACGTTTTCTTAATCCTGAATGTTCCTTGGCTCAGATCGTCCTCCGACCTCAGTTCTGCAAAATAGCTCACGATGTCCCAGATGCATCCACGCTGTGACCCTGTGCGCTGGCTAGGCAGAAAACTCTTGTCCACTCGGCATCACTTAGGTAGGCTTGGATCCCAATGAGACAGGTTTTCCTGCCCTAAGTTTGTTGTCTGATATACTTTTCAGTAGTTTCTTCCATACACTTACGCGGTTCCCTTACCCTGCTGATAGGTAGTTGGCATGGGTCCTAGTTCCAGTGACTACTCTCACTGGGCGCTTACCTGAGATTAAACGAACTTGGCGATTCCTCCGGTATGAAGTGATCGGTAATTGTACAATGGTTAACGCTCTTGGCTAAATGAATGTTGGTCGCATCTGACTGTAGGTACTACCGAGGACACGTTTATGTTCACCATGAGTGGAAAACGCTGCTCCCTCCCCGTGAAGTCGCTCGCTTCGAATCATTGATATCAGTGGGTGCAAGAAGTGATCATTCGGGTGTATAACAGTAGAAGAATGGCATTTTCGTCACCTGTAGCCAAAACTTGAAGCCCTCACTGGAATACCTAACCATTGTAACTGCTCGTAGTAAACAATAAAGAGTAATTTTTGGTATACGCATGAGTAGCAGATTTGTGATCTAATTAGCTGAGCGTTGTCACAACGGCTTCCAAATCAGAGTACATATCCGCCCTAATAGTTTCTAAAAGCTATGTCGTACCTAGCTACGGTCAGTGATAGTCGTGTCTTTCGGGTCTAACCCCGTCCTCTGCAACATCCGTAAGTTACTTAGTAGTGGAGGAGAAGGCGTGCTATATCGCGGTTAACTTGTAAACCATAACGGTCCGAAACTGTTCCCCACGGCATAAGCTGCTGACTGGCGGTGCAAACCGCTGGGGTTCATGGTTCGAATCCTGATGTACCTGATGGATGCGCACTAATGAGGATGCCCAACAGGTTGAAGCTAGATGTGGAGGAATATCTGATTTGGAAGGTGTTGTGACGAACTCTCAACGAATTAAGAGTACGGTTGTTGAAACAGATGCTGGATCCGGAACCACTGGCACGTGGACTGCCATCCCCTGGGAGCATGGCTGAAGTAGTGTGAATACCGCCGATTGCATTGGAACAGCCCGAGTCAGCTCATTAGCCATCTGGTCAGGATAACATTGACGATGTCATGGGCCTACTTACCTGTAGGAAACGGCCCACAGGATTGCATAGGTAATTTCATATAGATTCGGCAAAACTCGTACGGTACGATAACGGTTCAGCATGCTCAATGCAGTATTTGAGATAAACCAACAATATTTTGCCATGTGTGTGAACAACAGCTGACAATGGGGTCAGCAACCCTTCCAAATTTATAGGCTGTTAGAATTAAAGTCGTGGTCTATAGGTGTGTGCTCAACACTCCCTCAAAACACAAGCATTCATTCGCGCAGCAACTTGGATTACCTTGGTTACAACACAGATACAGTTGAACGTTAGGTGACACTGAAAGCGTCAGCTCCAGTTTCAGCTGTCCTTAATGCATACTATCATCAACAGATGACGGCGATTCTCCCAGTTTTATTCACCACCTTGAGTAAAAATGGCCACACTGTAGTGGCTCGGAAGGCATGATCCCTGGCAGAACGTACAAGCCGCGAAAATTAAGGAAGATGAAAAGTAAAAAGACCGCCGGGTACGAAAGTCGACAAAGCAACTTGAGGCATGCGGGACATGCCGGAAATGGACAACGAACAACAAACGATATCTGGCCCAGAAGAGCGGGGGACGTACTGGTGAACAGCCCGAATTTCCGGAGATGCGCGTTTGGCCGCGCCACCAAGAATAACCAAGAGGAGAGCGACGCAACTCCGAGTAACCAAGTCAAGAGTATTAGCATGAATCCAGCCCGGTCAGAATAGCGCGTGCGGAAGCGAAAATACGAGGGCAAATCGACGAGCGGCAACTTCACTGACCAGCTGAAGTCGGGGCATGAATGTGACGCCGAACGAAAGGCCAATGTGTGGTGGGTGGTGGTCGGGAATTGTCCCCTATACGTGCGCGCGTGCGTGCTAGCCTGTGAACCCGTTGTACGTGAGCAATTAAGACGGTGCACCCCTACCCTCTTTCTCGCCACAACATGATGGCCGTACGAACATCGTTATGTGTTCTGCCTCCCAAACACCAAGTGTAGACGGGAGGGTTTGAAGTTGGGAAGTTTTCAGGTGAGAAGCTGTTATATGGAACGCGTTTCCCCAAAGGTAGTGGAAGCGAAATCACATAAGGCTCATATATTCGCATGCATACCAGTGCCCATGATTCAACCAGCCTTCGCATTTAAAAGAATTCACTTTTACCGACCAGCATTCATTATCATCTTCTTCCTGAAAAGTCCCGGTCACATTATGTATTTTCACTTATTTTGGCTCGCTTTCGTAATATAGCTTAAGTAGACCATTAGATAAAAAAATCACGTACGTCACCAGTTTTGGTAAGTCAAGAAATTGTATTATGCATCCTGGACGGGTGGGCAACGCTGCATTCGTAAAGCACCGACTGTGAAGGGCTTGATTTTTTTCGCTCACGGGGTGTGTGGACGCGTAGAAAAGGTTTGGCGACCAAGCCACACGGGTCGTAAAAATCGAATGCTATCGACCAGTTGGCCGTGTGGGTATGCAATCCGCAAGTCTTTCGTTCCTTTCGATTAGGGGTGCTGTTACAACCAACCACTTGCAAGAGAACCACCACTGCTTCAGAGTGGATCCGCAATCTCTTCATGGGTAGTTCGGTCTCGATAAGCGTAAGGACCGCAGACTCGGTGTCTTAAAAGGTTAACCAAATAACCAAGAGGTACCTGCTAGCAAAACTGGGGATAAACAGGTGCATCGGATGCACAGTATGTTTTGACTGAGCAACATTTTGTTCCTTAGTACATCATCTCAGTACGGCGACGTAACCATAAGCAGCCAACAAAGATTGTAATATCCCTGGGACAACCAATCGGAGTAGTGATATCAGATGGATAGACACATCTATATTCACACCACACTCAACCGTAGCTAACATTAGCCGATAGTGAATGTCAAGTATGCCATAACCCACAACTCCAGTGTGCAGATGCGCGACACCTCATGCACATGACCGCATTGATACGCGTGCTGAAAAATCAGATCAGTACTGAGTACGATGTGGGTCACCTCGATGGTTGAATGAAGTGAAGCGGCCCTGATCTCTACGCGGAACACTGTTGGGTCAGCCAAGATAAAGCGGGTACTTAGACTATCATACACCAGATGTACATATGGTCTTGGTGTTTGCATTTCCAGCAATGCGCCCCACGACAAGCTATGACCTCGTTTCGACTATTCAGGTCATATGTGAGTTCCCAGCTCCGACTCCTCACTTGAATAGCCTAAACAACAGGGAGGAACCGAGAGTAGAGTGGTGTTGGGAACGAGCAGCATAGCAGCTAGATTTATCTGGGAGATCGCAGTTGTTCGGAATGACCGTGGCCGCAATAAAGACGGCGTGTAGATATACACACATGCACACGTATACACTTAACTGACCTCATGCTGTTTGGATAGACAGGAGTTTCGCCTTAATTTGACCTAACCGCAATGGATGGGGTTAAAAGGTCAAACAAAGCTTCACCCTGATATTCGGCTGCATATTACGGTGCTGCAGTGCAACAATGCGTCCATCGCTGATTATTTTTCTCGTCCTAACGCCCACGCCTTGCTGATGCCCCCGACGGAATGATCAGAATCTCATCGATATCAACCATATGCATGACCCTAGATGCCCACAATGTTATACCGCTGCTGCCCACTGAAGCGCTAAAGTGACAGGCTGCTGGGTCGCTGGGTGGATCAAGCTCCGGATTTTGTGAATTACGCAAAAGTGTGAATTGGCGATTTGAGATCCCTACAAGGGCAGTTCGATAATGTCGACCTCTTTGCTAGCAACCAAGAAGATTGAGCTTAATATGAAGAAACCCTTAATCTCACCGTACCTACGAGGAAGTGCATCGTCTTTTGTAACCTAGATGATATTGGAGAAATGAGAGAATGAAACTGAAGGAAACGCGGTTGGATGAGGTCAGTATAATTACGTCAGTAGTTCTTACAAAAGATTAGGTTATGGAAATATGAAATGCATGATTCTCCTGAAGCACATGATTCGCTGGACTCATTTCATGTCTATTACTCTTCAAAGGAATACTCGGAGTTCCAGTCCCGAAGGAATATTTCAGTCAGTTGAATTCGGATGGTCTGTGACTTGGTCTCAGGGTCTTGCAGGTGTTCGTATGTCGAGTTGTCCTTCGTTTCGTCTCGAATCACGAAACCGATTCCACCGGTGAACAAAAAGTAATCGCCTGACCAGTTCGAGGTACCTAAAAAAGATAGTTTGCGGACCCTTTTAACTTATCGGTTGTATAATTTTAAGCTACGACAAGTGATAACACCGTCGAAGTTTTCGCATATCGCAAAATTTAAGCTGTTAACGACCGAAAGTTAAATGTTTTACAAAACATGCTGCACCTTGGTGGGCAAACAACTGTCTGCCGTATGACAATACGTAGCTTTAACACAATACAATGGAACAATGAATTTAGCACGGATAAAAAGAGAAACGCTTAAAAATTTCTCTAGGTACAGTATGTGTGACCAGAAGGGGAGTGTATCAGGAAATAGTGAAGCGTAACCGTGGACTCACGGCAATTTTCACATGTTCACACCGTTTAGCTACATGGTGCCGTGTCCCCGTAATGGGTTAAATCTTACTATGAACGTGGTATGGATGCATCATCATCAAGCTGAGTTTGGAATTCATCCAACGTTACAGTGGTGCCGACAGCAAAATGCGCCAGAATGTTCCAGGGCTGGGAGATACACGAATGAAGAAAACGTTCTGGTGACATTCCAACTCCAAATGATGTCCTGTCAGTGAGGTGTTACGGCTGAGTTTCAGTAAGGGTCAGCATGGGTGGTCAGGATCCATGAGAATCGGATACACCAGTATGAGATCACCTCGCAGAAGACGACGTTGTTCACTGAAAACTCCTATGGTCTTTAGCCTATACTGGTATGGGATGTGGAGCAAACCCTTAATATTTTATCAGCCCTCCGTTGTGGATACTCAAGAGCAACGAGTTCAAGCTTTTGCCAAGAGTGTCACACCCGAATGACGTATTATGCATGTGGTCTCAAGAAATGATTACAGGATCGAACCACTCAAAAGCTCTCCGCAGTAGACCCAAGTGTTGTCCAGCCTTTTTACTGCTTTCTCGGCGTGTCATGAGCATCCGAGATCGTCCTGCTCGAGCACCCCAAGATCGCTTCTATGGAAGTGCGCTACAAAATGTATTCTCCTTGCCGATATTCGCAATTTCTCAGGTGGTGTATGCTCATTATTTTATGTTTGACAGGATTAAACTCGAGCGTCTTATGCTGATCACTGACAGGCCCTTTTGAGATCATATTGCGGTGCTATGTGGTCGTCTACTCTCGTCCACGAAGAGTAGAACGTTAACGGTCATCACACCTACGAGATCATTTATGAACACTTAGTAAAACAGTGGTCCTAGCACCGAGCCTTGACGGAGGCCACAGATAACCTGTATCACGAGCCACGAGCCAGCACATCCAAGCATCGTCGGAGTGGGAATGAATGTATCCAGCCGAGGATCGGGTCACCGATCCAATAACTCCGAAGTTTGCAAAGAAGAATTCGGGGATCTAGATAATACAATGTCTTAGGGAAATCAAAGTAAGTGGTGTCTACTCGTTCTCCAGCATCAACGGATTCCGTCCAGCTGGTAGAGACTATCAAAAGTTCTTGATACATGATCAATTTTGAGGGAATCCATGCTTCTCATTCACGGCAATATTACACCTTTGTAATTATTCCATGAGTGCATCTGCGACCACAGATCCCATGATTTTAGCAGGCATAGGAAGAAGAGTAGTTGGGTGGTAGCGTACGGGCACAGCACGATTGACTCCATTACGAATGAATATGACTATTCTGCGCTTCCACGCAGTTGAAACCCGCATATCGTGTAGTCAGCGATAGAAAATCCGAACCAACGGTTTGGTTAAGCTCGTAACAACGAGCTTTAATGACTTGGGGCATATGTTGCTCGGATCGGGTGAATTGCACTCGCGTCTTGACATCAGCCGCTTCAGCATATCTTTGGTAGTAAACTAGATGTGGTTAAGTCCTGGTGACAAGGTGATCTGTGAGGGATGGTATGAGATGACAGTGCGTTCTGGAAATTAAAAGTGCACTCACAGAAGACAGATATGAATTCAAGCAAGGTACTAGCTGGGTTACACATCTTAAGAGTTCGGAGTCAGCATTTCAAAAGCAGGCACAAATCCAACACAACCCATAAAATGAGAGGAATCTCTTGACTGTCGTTCGGCCGCGCTCATTCAGCACTCTCGAGTGGGTCAAGGTTTAGAATAAAGAAAACCGAGGATTTCTTGATTATTATTTTCTCTTAACAGAGTACACAGAGGACACAGTGAGAGTGAAAACATGCACTCACCAATATAGGCTACTTGATCTGTCACCATATACTTGTTGTGGTTTACGCGTGCATGGGGGATCATTTTTTGAGCCGGAGTGAAAGATGGTACCACAAAGTAGCGCTGCAAGGTAAATACCATATCAGAGACCGGAGTTATGGAAAGATCAGAAAACTTCAGACGGATAATGCTCAACCCGATGTTCTGCCATGATCGCTTGAGGCCAATGGAGTGAACGCACTAACCATACAACAAGTATTCGCCGGAGCTTGTTACGCCATGGCATTGTAGAACGAAAAGCACGGACTCACAAATTAAAAGCCGGATTCGATCGAATCAGAAATCTGATGGAACGATGTCATCGCCAACTGACACACAGAAATCAAGCGAATTGGTTCTGGGAAGCTTACAGGCTTATTGGATAGTTTAGACAAACGATAAGCGGCCTGTCATCCGGCATGAAGCAGAACCAAGCTGGGTAAACCAACAACAATGCCGTGGATGTTACCAACACAATTTCGGGGAACCGAGCTAAGCGTAAAACTTGTGACCTCCAAATTTTATGACGTATTTAGAAACCACGAAAAGTTTATGGTTTCGGGAAAACAGAATAGGTTAGTGCCTGTGACAAACAATGTTTGTCGGTAACAACCAGTGCATAACTGCTACAAGTTTTTTCGAAGAATCGCACTATGTTCAGTGCCAAGGAGATGCAAACTAGTCTTTATAAGTACAAGCCGAAAAATGAAGCAGTGAGCAGACCAAGAGTTTCAGAATGTCTAATGAATGTGATTATTATATTATTAGTTTTCCTATCTGGATCAACCCGCCGACGCACATAAGGCTGACAGGGCTGATATTCTAATCTGCGTCCTAGATTTCGTCATTGCCCATTTCATTCATGGGGTGATAAGTTGGACAATTTCCACCGTCATGGATTTTATCGTCAATAAAACTCCAGAAGTGAGTGGATCACCATGCTCGAATTTCGTTTTTATGACTTTACGCGGATTTCCCCGAGGCTACCGTACTTGTCCTCCACAATCATCACGTGCAACTCACTTATGGTTTGATTTGTACACACTAGCTTTCTATGAGGAAAAGGTGCCCCCAAAGGCTAGTAACAATCAGGGTTTGACCCAGTTTGCTAGCGAAACAACACACACTGGCACAGAACATGTAATGCTACTCGATAACTACATCCACTGATGGTTCCAGATGTTAGCTGCAAACTGTTATCTTGTACTCGTATTCACCCTGCTGCCTTGCGTGTCATGTCGTTACGACCAAAGGCTCGGAGTGGAGTCCCTTCAGTCAACTCCTTTTCTCGGCCTGGACAACCGGGAAGCTCACTGTCCAGGCAAAATATAGACCATCTCATTCTTTCCCCTGACTCTTTTCCTCTGTGTGCTTGTTGCTGCTGCTGTTGTTGGCGTTGTTCTTTCTCATGTGTTGTGACACCCTGCCAAATGTTCTTTGGGCAGGTGTTATATTTTTCACTTATATCTCAGGATAACAAAAGATGTATTGGATCAATACTCCAACCACATGATTTTTTGATGCAAATAAAATTCCCATAATCAATTTGTCCATTCGCACTGGAATAGAACTTACAATTCGGATCGTCGACCCTTGAACACCGTTCAGAGCTCGCAATGAAGACTGATATTTCAGTGATGACTTAGACGTGTGTGGCCAACGGCTGATCAACAGGCGAACTTCCACTCCACGGTCAATTGCCGCAGTGCGTAGTGCCTCATCAATATCTGGCCAATACCTGCGTGAGACAATAGTGAGGAACATTGGAGAATAAACGTCCCAATAAGTGCGGAAGGAATGATAAATTATGAACCGGTTACCTTCCAGTGGTATGCCAGTCGTACGAGACAATCTCTGAACTGTAGTCCATCACTGAGATGTAAATGTATTTCGTTGCCTCTGTGATTGCGGACAAAATAGCATCCAAATCATGGGTTCGGCCGTCCGCGTTAAATTCTTTGGGTGAAGCCTGAAAACCAACACATGTCGCGTACAAAATTGTTTTGAAGAGAAGCACGAGAATGATGATTGAGTTGGTTTCGCTCTACTGACAGACTAGGGGTGTGCAGGCAAAGCAATGCAATCAAGAAAGTGTCAGTCGCCGGCTAAAACTGATGGGCGATCTGACGCACAGCGCATCCGGTTTCAGCCTCTGACTGCTACAGGGCGCACTGGGTTGAATCTCGTCTGTCGTGAGTGCTGCTAGGCCGATGCAGTGGTTTAACAGATTCAGTCAATATCAGAGAAGTGATAATAATTCGGAGCCAACTCCCATTGCATATACCAAGTCCCGTTTCAGTCATGGAAAGAGGGTATAACAAAAATGCTCATTTTCGGTGATTCATCGTCAGACCAAATAGTTGAGACAAAAATGGGTGGATTGAGTAGCTAGAAGATGGAGATGTCAAAATGCCCGTAATGGATGTGATTGGTTCACAGGACAGATGGCCATGGTAAAGCCAAGACTTTGACAAATTGTTTATGCACACACAATGGGGTTGTTGGGACCACTCGCAATCTCTTTCGCCAATACGAAACGATTTATTGATAACGACAGGATGTTTAGTCTGGACTATGCCCTTGACAAATGCAGCGGTGCAATTGTTGTTCAATTCTCGGCTTAGCCACGATGGATGACGCTCATGAACGCGTTCAGACAAGCGTTTCGTGATGCGACCTATGTAAGTTGTCCCACAGGAACAAGTAAATTCATGCACACGAAAGAGGTGACATCCACACAGTTTACTCTTCAACTGGAGGTGTGTCATGGGCGTGGAAGTGTACAACGGACCAGTAGTTATGAGGCCACCATAGTTGTAACACAACGACTGGCCTACATTATATGGGAAATCAGTGAATCACAGTTTCTTTGATTGCAGAGCGGTGGTTAGGTATGCTCCTGAGTGGGCTAAAGTCTGAGGGGGGGGGCAGGCAACGAACCACTTGTTTGAGTGTGCAACCGTCGCCACGTGGATGGAATCAAACAAAGATAATGCAGCCCATGTATCGTCTGTGTTTGACCTCATTGTTATTACTATGAAAAACTAAAGTATCACAGCTCCACCCACAACAGAACAGCGGTTGCTTTGTAGTCGATAAATGATAGTACAAGCAGTTCTTCCAGACCACAATTTACGAAAATGACAAATGGTCTTCAATCTCTGGAAACCAAACTTACCGAAAAATAAACCTTCGAAAGCATGCCATTTATAGTTATCTGCATCGGATTAGTTCTGTTGTGGCTGGTTTTCAGTTCTGTCGGCCATTTGGTGGGCAACTTGTCGGACACCAGAAGATACGAAGCATGAATTTTTTTCAGATCCTCCACTAAGGCAGGGCAGTTCAGTATGAGCGCGCCTAGTTCCTTGACCTAATTCAGAGACATACGTGAGACGAGTAAATAAAGGTTTATCTCAGCGATTGCGTCATTATCTCAGGTTTAATCAGCACGTAAGATGGGGGCATTGCACTGGGATCCACATGAAATGGAAGCTGTTAACTAGACGACATGGAGTAAATACGAGGTAAATGAGCCTATAGGTTTATGTTAGTGTGTGGTTCGGTGTCAGCGATCAACTGGCTTCTTGCACTGTAAAGGTTGTGCCATATAAGTAGCCATACAGACGACATGGAGTAAATACGAGGTAAATGAGTCTATAGGTTTATGTTAGTGTGTGGTTCGGTGTCAGCGACCAACTGGCTCCTTGCACTGTAAAGGTTGTGCACTATAAGTAGCCATACCGACTGGGTGAAAGTACGTCCTTAGTTTTGCTACTATGGTCAAGCAGACAGGCATGAATCACGTGATCATCGTGCACACCATTCAGGCTGCTGGCCCGTTGCTAACGTCTTGGCAATTGGAACAACAGACGCGGGACACGTGTGCAAGACGTACAGTTGTGAATTAAACGATATGGCACCGAGTTAACTGGCTTTTCTTAAAGGCAAGGGCCGCAAACTTACTTCAGTAAGAGAGCGCCAGTCCATGTTTGCACTACCAACGTAGGCATGACTGTCGTCCACAATCCACAGTTTCGTATGGAGCACCCCACGACCGAGCAGGCGAGATACATCGATCCAGAACACGCGAGCACCTGAAAGATAGAACTGAGTTACATGCTATACATTAAGTCAACTGATATGAGAATCCTGACCTACCACAGACTCCTGTGGTTAACATTGGGAACAGCGTCACGGTACTCCTCTATAAACCCAAGATAGCAGGCTATTATGAAGTGGAACAATTGGAAAATAAGGTTGGGGACTTTGACGTTAACCTAGCATACGACAGCTCAACTGGCCTGATGAAAACATTGTTGGTGGCTGAACACAATTCCATTATCGTTGCAGCACAGTAGCAATAAAAATGAGTATAAGCCGGTTGTTCGAAGAAAACTAGCTTGTTCAAGGCGGTACGCACACTTTGTCAGATTCAACCCAGTGCAGTATAAGGGGGTATCAGTCAAACAAATTTTAAACGTGAGAAAAGGTAGACTGATAAATGGTCGAAAAGAAATGGATGAACCATTGGTATGAGACACGCACGTAGGGGTTAGATCAGGGCAGTAAATGCACTTATAGCAGACCGATCATAGTTCGATCGAAGAGCATTTGCAAATAATAAAGCCAGCACAAAGTTGCGAAAAGGTATCATTCCTCTGATATCTGAAGATATTAGAGACGCGAAATAGTTAAATCCAAAGTATTCTGTTAAAATGTGGCTTCTTCTTGTTATATTAAAATTTGTGAAGGAAAATGTTTGCATGAAAAATCCAATATACTTGTCACCCGACGAGCAGAAAACTTATATCAAGTTTCCAGTTATGAACAACTACACCATCATGAGAAATACGAAGCGCATGTTGCCCCTTTTCAGAACCCGATGTGTGCTGCTGAAACTGTCACCAGTAACAGATATGGCCCAAGACCTAACTATGAACACATGGCGTCTTCTTCTAACCTCTGAGTGACAACCTATCGATGCCAACTCACAACAGCCCGCACCAATTTTGTGATCACGGAGCTAGATATGTATCTAGAGTCGATGAGCCGGTAGAAGCTATAGTAAAGGAGCATGTTAAAACGTGCGTCTGATAGAAATCAAACAATTTTCTCATCTGGTACTCCGTGCTCATGTAGGCCGCTGATAGTATACAGTAGTCCAACTTGGTCACCCATCAGTTATTTGGAACAAGCTAATGGTCAAATGCTTGTTGGAACGTGCCATCACCTACCTGCCACCATTCATCGAAGTTTTTGCAAGTGACCAGTGTAGTCCCGCATTCAGGAACAGTTTGTGAGTCTCATGTAGCCATGCACACCCGTTCGTCACTGGTGGGCTGCACCATTTACGTCCTAGATGTGTTTCACACTGTTTTTTTTATAATGTTACATGCACCTGCTTGCAAAATATTGGTAGTTCGGGATGGATGTTGAGTTGCTCGCCGATTTGGATAATTCGACTGAAGACATTTCAGAAACAACCAAGGCGATATCCTCGGTACGCATCAGTACTGGTCTCACTAGTAGTTTCTAAGCTTCGGGCAAATCCGAGGATGAATGCAGCTCATCGCGTGAAGCCAAGAGGCAACACTGAAATAAGCAACTGACTCGAGGAAAATACTTGTGGAAGATGCATAAAAGAGTACCTACCTTTTGTCTGGAGTGCATCCAGCTCTTCATTTTTCACTTGGGAACCATTTTGGGCGATTGTGATGTTTATTTCTCCGCTTTTGTTCATCAGCGCGTCGAAAATAGCACGACCCTGGTGGCGTCAGTTTATCCCAAGGTGAACAAATCATGGGTAAAGAAATGTAGCGAGAGTTAACAATACTAGAAGAAATAGGAATAATTCGTAAACTGTCTGTTATCCACTAATTTGTTTTTTTTCGAAGTGACAAAACAAAAATTGAGAATGACAGAGCAATTGCCACGTTTCTAGGCTACGCGAATGGAACCATATACTGTGTGGTGTCAAGTTAGCTGTTGCTAGTGTATCAGTACATACCTTGCTCACATCACTTTGGTTAAAGGCTGCATCAGCCAGAAGTGACCAATAAAACGAAGCGATGGATAGTTGGTGAGAAGCTTGATCCAATAGTAAGCTCCATGCGAAATGGGTCGAAACATGTTTAGGTGCACCGGCCCAATAAGTCAAGTTTTCTGGCATACTTTCGACAAGCAGTACGGTACAGTCGCCCGACTGAACCAAAGTGCGACCGTCCTCGAATGTCAGTGGTAAATTGTGGGTTCTGGGGACTTGCTGCTTCGCTGTTAGCGATCCAACGGCAAGTATATCGTAAAGTAGGAAGGGAAGCAAGCAGCATGTACACCTAACCAAATTGGAGCAGCAAATAAATGAAAGGATCACCATTGGGGACATGGCAAATAATCGTAGGATAAAACGAGTGAAACGCTGGATTAAGTATGGTATGAGGAAAATGAGCGACAACACCTATCGGTTTGTGGATGGTGGATGGGTTGGACTGCTTATGAGGTGCGAAAACGTGGTCCATGCAAGCAACAGTTACGAGTATGCAGAGGCAAATGCCTTTTTGTGGTAAGTATGGTACCTGTCATAAACGAACTAACTTGGACGGTCAATGGGTACGGTTGCACGCACATGTTACAAAGGAATCCTGTTCCGCTCTGATGACGATACAGACGCGAAGGAGCGATCGAAACGTCTGGGTCAAGGTGGGTGCCAGGGGTCAATGTGATTAAGTAAACAACTATGACACCACGTGACCTGTAAGTTATGCACGTTGGAGCGAAAAGTATAAGACAATCGATCGTCCTAACGCGAGATCTTAATTACCAAACATCTAATGTCGAATACCGATAAAAATTCCACAATGAGAGCACCCACCTGCGCATCGTGCCGATGTATCCAATATACCGTTGAAATCTGGTGGGATAAGCAGTGGAAGCAGTGAAGCGCCAGTCGTGAATATCTCTCGGTTTCCGCACTGGAAACACAAGTGGAACAACCTTGTCGGCCAGCCAATGGCTTACGGAGGCTATGACCTTCGGCTGTGCCGGCCGCAGTGGCGATAACGCATACCTCCACCCACGCACGTTGTGGTCAGGCACGTAATTATGGTGACCGCGACCATAGTTGGAAAGGTGTTTGAAGGCGGTGCACCTCGCAGTTAAACTGTCTTTCGAACGGTTGAACAGCAAGTCCATGCGGATACATCGTAGCGCATAAGTATGCAGTCGGTCATGGATTGCAAGGGTCAAATCTTCTGTTGGGAGGAGCGACACCGAAATATTCAAATCTTCTGTTGCTTAAGCTGACGGCATAAGCGTTAAACTCGAGAATAGTAGAGAGCGAGATATAAATCTGTGGCTCCATCGTAGTTAGACCGAGTACCTGCGCGGAATCACGTCGTTGATCCTACGCGGTGGCAGCATATTACAACAGCACTACATCTTATCCGGGTGCTATACGCTCCCTATACCTGTAGTCCGCAAAGTGGGCATCAAGAAATCTCTTAAAATCCGACGCCGATTTCGCCTCGATCAGCGCCTCCGGCAGCTTGTTCCAATATTTCACCAGCGTAGAGGGTGATTGATTCACTTCAGATCTATTACCATCAGTTTGTACTGGTGTCCGCGTGTGCTGCTTGGTGCGCGAAACAACGGTAGCGGTGTCAACATAGGAAAGTGGCGCAGATCCAATATCCGCTGCGTCATTATGAGATCAACTCGAAGCCGACGATATGACAGGGTATACAGCCCTAGTCTCCTACATCGGTCCACGTACGAAATACCCCGTAAACTGGGAAAGAGTCCGGTAGATACATGCTGGACCTGTTCCAGTCTCTGCACCTCACCTATGGTGGTCGGGTAATAGGCGGATGAGTCGTACTCAAACACCGGTCTTATCATGGAAGGAACAGGCGAGTGGCAATCTCTTCTGACCAATTCCAGAAGCTGCGTCTAAGCACCCAAAGCAGGCGCAATCCGTTTCCCTACAGTCCGTTCGTGTTGTTGTCGGATTTCAGATCACAGCTTCGGAGTACACCTAGGCCCTTTGCGGAGCTTTTGGGATGAAGCGGCTGGCTGACTGAGGGGTACGCACGTCCACTATCATTCTTCACCAGACTCATAAATGACGGCCTGACCGGGTTGATTGGCAGACCAACTTCCGCAGTCCACAGAGACAGGCGGTCGAAGTCTTGCTGAAGGATGTCACAATCGTCGGAAGAATCAACAACCCACCAAATTTTCAGGTCCTCCACAAACATTGTACAGGAAAATCGAAGAAGCTGAGGCACTTCGTTGCTGTTGAGCAGGAACAAAATGGGGTCCAGTACTATGCCTTTGGGTACGCCGCCAGTGGAGGGGTACCATTCCGTTAGGTGGTCATCCACCTGTACCCGCCATTGGCCCCAATAAGGAAGTCACTGATCCACTGGTGCAGTGCGCCACCAACTGCACACATCCTCAGGTTGTGCAAAAGGACCCCATGGTTTACTTTATCAGAAGCATTACTGAAATCCATGTCGATGACACCTACTGTTTTCCCCCGCTTCAACGCCTGCAACCATCTGTGCCTCGTCAATAGCAGGTTAGTGAAGCAAGAGCGGACTTCATAGAACTGTGTTGTGCGGGCGTTTGGAAGTCTTTCGATTCTAACATCTGCAGAAGACCCTTTTTCAAAATTCTCTGGGGGCGTTTTCGCCAAAACAGAGGCGACACAAATCGCTCCGTAAGTGTCCACTATAGTCAAGTCACTGCCCTTCGGAATCGGCTTCACTACCCAATACTTCCAGGCACTCAGCAATGCGCTTTCAGAAAAACATCTGCTGAACAGATCAGTCCCAGCAGGCGAGACGATGTTCGTTAGGGACTCAAGAATTAGCGGATGGAGGCCGTCGGGTCCGGCATGCATCGTGCCTTCTAGACTGGTGAGTAGACTGCGAACATCATCCACATAGTAAACCAAGTACTCTAGTTCCTTAAAAACTTGACACGTCGTTCGGCATATGCGCATGCCCAGCAGTAAATACGGAGGCGAAGTGTACCGCCAATGCGGACGCACATTCTGTGTTGGAACTGAGAGCCTGTTCCTCCGAGCCCTCTAACACTGCTAGATCACCTGCGGGCCTCAGGCGTCGCTTCACGTAAACAAAACTATTCTTGGAGGCCGACTTCGCTGTGGTTGCGAGCTCTCCTTCAAAATGTCGACAATTTCGTGTTATTGTACTGTTGCATAGATTCCACTGCATCTTGTAGGTCTCATAATCATCGATAGAGCCAGACACGAGGAATTTATTCCACAAACTTTTCGTCCCCGAACCAATTGGCCATATATTTGTCGAACCCATGTGAATTCACTGGTCCAGTTCTCCTATATTTGAGGGGTACTCAAGACGCACTACGATTGCACGCCATTTTTGATAACAAACGAAAGGATGAATCCTGCGGGAGTGACCTGTTCAGTTCAGTAGCGGCTCGATCGAGACCATCGAAGTCGGTCTCCCATTAACTGTAGCGCGGCACCAGGGGACGCGAGTATGGTAAGCGCAGCTCTAGACTGGCTAACACAAAGGAGTGGACACCAGACTAGGTTAACGGCTATATTTTGGAACCGTGTTCTGAGAAGATACATTTTAGGTATCGTTCAAGCAGATGCTGAAATCCTTTGGACGATTCGTAGACTAGGATTACTCGCGAGGCATTCTGCGATTCCAGCCACTTCTGCTTCGATCACAAGAGCTTGTAACCGCTTGAGGGAGCGTTGACCTTACTATCTTGCACAGTTACGTTTAATGGATCCCCACAGCACATGATTATGAAAACCCCCCAGAGGGAAGCGCCCAACAGCAGTCAGAATGACCGACGAGTATAGTTTGGATAAAGCGTACACATGTTCCATTCAGAAATTGAAGCATTTCAACGCCGCTGGGCACATGGTCATCAGCATACACCATCAGAGTACTCAAAAACATCGGCCAGGGTCACAAATTGTACAGCAACCTTCTCATGAGTGCGATCTCGGCGTACTAGTACGAGATGATCTTGGATGTTTGAGGCGGGTTGAAAATACCTCCTGCATCTATCGTTCGGGAAATTCGATGTCTCAGTTTTTCCGAAAATGCTTGGTGCTACGGGACGCCACAGGCGAAATACACTATCCAAGCTTGCGACCCTGGCAGAATCATCACCTCATCGCGCTCGATACGGCACACCGCAGGGTGACGATGAAAGTCAGTACTTGGTCCCGCCTTCCCTACCCAGTCGGGCTGAAACACTAAAAATCTAAAATGGTCGTTCTCGGCATCTACGGAGATGTTTCATACTGGTGTAGCAGATAGTAAACAATCACAACCACACATGCCACTCTCTTCTGAAACAGCTGAAATACATAATTAGAGGTCTTAGTGTAGCGAGAACGACGCACGAGGAGGGCAGAACGTTTGTTGTCACAACTACCTTCAACTGACAACTCACAAACCCGTGCAGGCATGGACCGTGATTTCTTCCCACGACGCAACGCAGAGGAGAATTTGTGTAACGGGCGATTTCAGGTGCCTCCGAGGTTGTGCTTCGAAACAATCCCTTCATGTTTCCATCCCGTATCTCCGCTTCGCTAGATCCGAATCTGGCCAACCAGGAGTCATTCGTAAGCTCGCTATTTGCTCTCCCGTGACCGCATCACTCGGCCCGCGTTCACTTCTGTGGATTTCACTAGCGGTGTAGTTGTCCGATTCATTACATTCTCGACAAACACCTCCTCCGTTGTTCTGGGCCCCGGATCGTTACCAGATGCCGCTCGTGAACTGCTGTCGGCTCGATCCAAAAGGCTCGCACTGCCTTGTCTCGTCTCATCCATTGCGCCCGTTGGTAATTCTCTACTATCCCGTTCGTAGTATCTTTCCGGTCCACGAGTAGTCATTGGCTTTCGCCGCCCTACAATAATTTAAAGCTGGCCACGCGGTACTGCCGATAGGATGTTGACGAAACTATTTCCCCTTCGAGTGCTACAGCCCTGGAACTATCTCCAGGCGCATGCAGTTATTGCCCAAGCTTATCCTTATTCAAAGACCTGATAGTGTCCTAACACATTTACACTACGTAATATAGCCTACGGCCATCAGCTGATGTCATTAGTGCCGAACAGACAGCGGAAGATGTCAAATCCTCCTAAATTCCAGACAAGAATACTTGCACATGTGCTAATACAGATTCTCTAACCGATGCAGTTTTTTAACATGTAAATTCTCTCCTAACCATCCTGCGGGATTTGTCAAGCATTTGCCTTTGTATCCGTCATAAATCATTGCTCCACTGCCTTAACTGGCGACATGCAGATGTATGTGGAGCAGCTTCTGACATAAAATGACATACAACGCTGTATTTATATTGGGGTTA